GAGAAATCCAGCTGGACTCTCCGATGCTGCTGGCTGACCTGCCTGACCTCCAGGAGCCCTAAAGCCCCCATCCTGGGCCTTGCCATCAGGGCTGGATCCAGCCCTCCCCCCACCTCCCCCCGCCAGGATCACCTTGAGGGCCAGAGCCCAGAGCCAGCAGGTGAGGCTCAGCCTTGATTCTGCAGGTTCATCTCAGACTCTGACTACAGCCTTAAGAAGCCACTGAGCCACACCCAGCCATGGCAGAATCTTGGAGGTTCCTATTGCCCCGTGCTGTTCTTTCAGTATTGTATTTTTTTAAAAACTTGATTATTTTGCCATCAAAACAAGGCCTGTGAAATGCAAGGATCTCATTAACATCTGATTGTGGTTGTCATTTTTGGAGTTGGGGTTAGGTTGCGATCCGCTGGGGAGCCAGGAGTAACTCATTCCATAAAAATGCATGCATTTGAGAGAGGGATAGCCAATAGCAGTTCATTCAGATTTATTGAATCATTATTCTCCCGTCTCCCATCCCCACAGAGATTGTCTCTGCTCCCTTACTTCTCCACTTCTTGGCCTGGCCTAGGCTGGGGTGGGCCACCTCTGTCTAGGCTTATCTATCTGGTGGCTGTTTGAGGGTAGTGTTTAGGGCATCTGTTGTGCGTAATATGTGGTGACAGGAGATCGTAAGGATGGTGCAGGGGAGGGCAAGGGTCAGATATGCTGTTCATGTAGTTCCTGTGAGTTGTAGTCAACTTGGTGGCACCTAGCAACAACATACCAAAATAATAGGGTTATTGTTGAGATTTAGGGGCTGGGCAAGCAGATACAGGAAACAGAACATCATAGAAAGATGGGGTTAGTATCCATGGTGCTTTTCCAGGGCGCTAAGTTGTGGTAGGGAGGCTAGAAGCAGGAGATCAGCTTAGACCAGCCAGAGGGAATTGAGGATGGCCTTGGCAGCCATGTGCTGGTAGCCTATCACCCATCATGGATGTTGGTATGGCTGTACTGGTTTGGTCTGACCCCTATAGTGGCCTGAAATAAGGAAGCTGGCTGAGGGTGAACAGTACCTACAGCCTGGAGAGTAACTTCCGGCTTTTAGCTATTGAGACAGGGTGGTGGCATCTGTGAGTTAGATGAAGCCTGGCCAGGTCTAGGCTGGAATGACTGGGCCTTAGATAAAGCTTGGGAAGCTGCTAGCTGCACAGGCCACAAGGCTCCGAGAGAAGCTAGTGTTAGGAGCAGAATAATAAACTTGAGGAGGGGCTTTGGGACAAGAGTAGAATGAGGAGACACGAGGCTCAAAGTGGAAGAGACAGGGATGTGGTTTGTTGGAGCCCTGTCCTCAAGCTCGGCGGATTTTCATCTCCGTGCGCTTGAGGGAGTAGTAGAAGCCTTTCCACTGGGCCCAATTAATACCATTGGCATAGGAGAGGTGTGAGCCCCCCAGGTAGAAGCCATTGAGGTTGGCAAAGTGGCAGCTACGGAACCAGAAAGCCCCTGAGGAGAGGGCTGCACAGTTCTGCACAAAGAGGTCCTGGTCCCTGTCGAAGGTGGAGAATTTCTGGCCACTGTGGTAGGATAGGGAGTCGCCTGCAAGAGGGAGGAGGGAACGACTTCTGAGGTGGGGAACTGAGCCCTGAACTGGCAAGAAGAAGGGTGACAGCAATAACGTGTGACACTGCTAAAGATGTCACCATGACAACCTGGAAGGGTGGGGCCACCTCCCAAAGCCAGATGTTGGGTAGATATGTTTCTGTAATTAAGAGAAACAGCTGTTCCTCCACCTAGCGCAAAGCCACATGCACTTCTCCCCAGGGCTCACTGGGAGCCAGCTGTGACCCTACCAAGATTGCAAGGGACAGAGGATTGTCTTGAAAGGAGTCTCAGGTACACTGGGTAATGACAGACACTCCCCCCCCCCCAAATTCCTCTTTAGGCTGAGGGCATACCTGCTCCACCATCCTCAAAGCCTGCCACATAGAGAGTGTAGCCATCTTCCTCAGCACTGACTGCATTGGGTGAGATGGAGAAGTCAATATACTTAGCAAAAGCAGTGTTATTCTCAAAGTCCTCTAAATCCACACGTAACTCGTACTTCTGCTTCAGTGTCAGAAGGTGGAGGTTCTGCAGCCCTGAGGAGTAAAGGTGACAGTTGGCCAGCAGGACCTGGTTATGGGCCCACCCTCCTCTCCAGAGAGCTGTTCCTGGCTTACCTAACCAGTACTCTCCATCTGCACGGCCAAAGCCCAGCTTGTAGTCATTCCAGCCCCGGAAGAAACTAACTGAACCATTGAATCTTTTCTGGAAAACCTAAGAGCATAAAGGACAGGATTGGACTGGTGGTGGGTACAGTAGGCATGAGCCTAACCCACCCTTGACCCTTGACTTGGATGGAGCCTGTTATGCAGAGGTAAGTTTAAAGCATGGAGCCAGGGCCTTAGAACTTCAGACTGTTGTGAAGCAGCTGCTGAGTGCCAAACATCCAGTTGTGCTCTTGACAGATGTTTTCCTGAGAGGCAGGAAGGGAGGGGGTTTAGAAAGTGTGATCTAGAGTTCAGATACCTGGGTGTGAGCCTTGGTAGGGGCTGGGTGACCTTAGGCAAGTTACTGCACATCTTAGGCCACCTTCCCAAGGTTATTCTAAGGATTGACCCATTTTCAGCGTTCAGTATTTGTTGATTGCTCAGAAACTTCTCATTTTACAGATACAGAGATGGAGATTCAAAGGGAAAGTACAGGGTCACACAACTTGGGCTAACAGGTTAGTTTGAACATCCGTGCGGCTCTAGTACTCCTTCCCCCACTTACTGTCCACTTTCCGCCCTCAGTGGTCATGTCACAGAAGACAGGCACAGGTACACTGGGACCGGAGGGATAGATGAGGTATACACCATCTGCCTGATAGCCCTGGGCGTAAATGTCATCACAGTCCAGGGGCTGCTGCAGGCAGGACTTCTCTAAAGCTGGTCAGGGTGAAAGGGAGGGGCATTCAGTGGTACAGTGAGGGAGAGTATAGGGCATATAGGCAGTTTAGCACTTTATAATCGACCTCAGTCTCCTGGGGTGAAGTACTTTGTCACAAATCACAAGAAGTGAGGGGCCACCAGAAATCCTTTTATCCACCTTCCCTAGTTTAAAGAGGAAGGACCAGACTTAGAGAGCTGGGGCAAAACTTTATAGCCTGTCCTCTAAGAATGGTGACATGAAACAGCTCCTCCTTGCCCAGCCTTTTTGCTACCATTGCGAGTATGAAGGTGCTTACCATCTCCGCGGATCCCGGAGGCTTGAGGGGCACAGTGAGTAGTGGAGAGGAGCACCAGCACCGGAAGGACCAGGCGCGCCTGTAAGTAGAGAGGTCAGGGTAACTGCTGCCTCAGGCCCAAGACCTGTTTATGCCATCACATCGCCCATCCTGCTGGAACCCCATTCCTAATCTGGCTGTCTTTTATCTTCCAAGTAACCCCACTCTTGAACTCATAAATCAAGTGTCTCCTGGAACAAAGAATCCCCATTCCACTCATAGTTCCCTCTAAGTAATGGCATGCTTTCTCTTGAGTGGGGCCTGCTGTGGTATCATAGAAACCCCCACCCTGAGCCCTTACCGCCATGTCGGTTCCCTGCAGGGCTGCTGGGTGTCTGTGGCCCAGACTGCTGCTGCCTGAAGTTATGTGCTGGGCCCAGGCCAGCCTCCTCAGCCCCGCCTTGTGTCTGCGGAGCCCCCTTCCCCCTCCCTGACACTGGCATTAGTTTACACTCCAGAGTGGAGCCAGGGCCAGATGACCACCTGTATCTTGTTAGGCTCTTCAGGGGCAGAGCTCAGCAGACATTGACTTCCTGCTGCCCAGACAGTGCCCTGGATTCTTTCTCACCCCCCACCCTCAATCTCTGCATGTGGGCCCTTGAGTTGATCCCAGCCAGGCCCCTGCTTGTTTCTTCTCCTCCTGTAAGTCATTAGCCATTTGGTGCAGGGAAGTCTGGTAATAGTGAGGGGGGTACACTTCAGTTCTAGGAGGGGAGGCCACTCTAGGGAGAGATTGAGAGGGGTTGATGGGGCTTGGCCGCATTGTGGGGAGGCTGTAGGAACCAGGCAGTCTGCTGACAGGGTGGAGACATTGCTGAGCCATGAGCACAAACCCTTCTGCTGGCCAGTCCCCTGACTCCCCCAGCTCAAGCCAGCTCACAGATCTTTTTCTTGCCTCTTGTCTCTGACTCCCTCAGCCCCTCCTTTTCCCTCCCACAGAATTCTCTGGCATCTGTGGCTGGCTCTGTGCTCTCCTCTCTCCCTCCTAGCTTGGGACCTTTTTTGTTTCTCCTCACCCTTCCTTTACACAGCTCACTGCCCCTCGTCCACTCCATTTTATTCCTTAGACCCTTCTTAATCAGTTTGCCATTTCTTCAGTCTTTCAACCCTCATGGATAATGCAGGCCAAGGTATTGTCCTTTCCTCCTGTCATCACTTTAGATCCCCTCTCCTTTGAGTCTTCTCTCACCAGAGGTGCTTATTGTTGCATCCTCTTCATCATTCTTTTGACTGATCTTTCCCCAGGCCATCCTCCACCTGAAGATCTTTTAGCATGGCTACTTTGAACCTTCAGTAGCTGAGGCTGTTTCCTTGGACTTGGACTTGAAAGGAATTTCAAATCTGACTCCAGCTAATCTTCCTAGTCTTCTAGATTCCTTAACTACACACAATCTAGTGTAGGTCTCTCACTGCTGAAGTCAGTCTTTGCCTACTCTGCCTCTATGTGGCTCACTTGTTTACCTGGCTGGGTGCCAGTTCACAAGATCTGTGTATCTCACCTCTGTGTGCTCAGCACCTACTATAGAATATGCAGAGTTGTTAAGGGCCACTGACCACAACTCATAGCTACCCTGTGAACAAGGGACCCGAATCTTACCCTATCCTGTGCCTTTCTCACCATCCCTGACATTCTTGAGTCCATTGATAACTGGTACTGCATCAATACATCTTATCAAAGGTCTTCCTCCCTTCTGCAGACCTTCTACGTTTCCAACGTGAAGTCTTCTTTAAAGAATTGGCCCTCCTAAAAACATACTCAAAGTATGTGAGATGAAGTTTTGCCATCTTTGTCCCTAAGGTGCATCCTACTTGCAACTTCTCCAACTTATTTGTTCTTTTGATAGTTCATGGGAAATTGATTACTCTTTTCCAACACCATAACTCAAAGGCAGTGATTCTTCTGGCATCTTTGTACCTTGTCCAACTTTTAGATGCATAGTAGGTAATTGAAAAGACTATAAATCCTGGTGAACCTTAATGTTTAAACTGGCATTGTTGTTCTTCAGCACTTTGGAGAGTTTCTTGACAACAGATTTCCCCAATGCTACACAATTATTTTTGTTGACTACTGGTAACAAGGATGTTTGTGGATTCAAGCAAGATGAAATAATTGACAACTTCAGTCTTTTCTCTATCTTGTGATGCTGCCTCTTGGCCCAGTTATAATTTTTGTCTTCTTGATGCTGAGATGTAATCCATATTGAAGGCAGTAGTCAGTGATCTTCTTCAGGAACAGTTTCAAGTGCTGTTCACTTTCTACAAGCAATGATATGTCATCTGCATAATGGAGGTTCTTGCTGAGTCTTCCTTCAAACTTGATGCCATATTCTTCTTTATAGAGTCCAGCTTCTTGAATGCTTTGCTCAGAGTTCAGATTGACAAGGGATAGAGAAAGGATACAGCTCTGACACCCAGCTTTCTTAATTTGAAACTATGCAGTATTCTTTGCTCTGTTTGGAAAACAGCTTCTTGGTCTAGATATAAGTTTCATATGAGTACAATTAAGTATTCTGGGATTCTCATTCTTCTTAATCTTAGCCATAATTGTCCACACAATCAAATGCCTTTGCATAGTTAATAAAGCATAAATATTCATTGTTCTGATATTCTCTGTTTTAAGCCAAGGTCTATCTGACATTAGCAATGATTTCCTTGGGGCCACAGCATCTTCTCAATCCAGTTTGAAATTCTGGCCTTTCTCTGTTTATGTACTGTTCTAGTTGTTTTTAGATACTCTTCAGCAAGATTTTACTTGCATGGATATTAATGATACTGTTTGGTAATTTCCGCATTCTGTTGGATTACTTTTCTTTGTTAGGATAACAAATATGAATCTTTTCCAGTCAGTTGGCCAGGTAGCTGTCTTCCTAATTTCTTGGCATATACTTGTGAGAACATCCAGGACTGCATCTTATTTGGAACATGTCTGTTGGTGACCCAACAATTTTTGGAGCCTTATTTTTTGCCAATGCTCTCATTGCAATTTTAAATTCTTCCTTCATTACTTCCAAAATAATTGTGTCAGCCACTTTTTTTTGGTACAGTGACTGAGTATTTTTTCCATCTATGTTCCCTGCATCATTCAAGATTTAGCCCATAGTGTCCTTCAGGATTGCAGCACTTGAACCTGTTTTTTCAATCCTTTGAATATTTACAGCCTTGGAAATCCGGTGGAGGGTTGTCATGCATCACAGTCTACTTGAAGGCAGTGGGTTTGGGTTTTGGTAAGGAGTTTAGATGATTATTTAACTTTACTTGTTATTCTGAAGGACATTTGTTGTGTAGAAGAAGAAATGCTCAGAGACCGAAAAAAGCAGCATTGACTTGAGTTCCCCTCCACTATTCTTTAGACCATTTAAGATACTTTTTAGATACTAAGATACTCTTTAGATCCTTTAAGAGAATTCCAGTATTCCAGTTCTTTGGGATTTAGTTACAGAACTAAAACTATTATTCTGTAATTATTGATAAGAGTTGTAGTTATTTATAGGTGTTTCCTTATGGTGTTGGAGAAGAATATCTTGTGGCCTGACAAAAGAGCAAATAAATAGTCTTGAAGAAATTGAACCAGGTCAGGTGCTTCTTGGAGGCAAAGATGATGAGGAATTGTCACATATAATTTGCACATGTTGTTAGGAGAACATGTCTTTGGAAAAGGGTATTGTGCTTGGAAATGTGCAGGATTAGTGAAAGACAGGAAGATAATCAAGATGGATTGACACAGTGACTGTAACAATGAGCTCAAGTATATCTAAGAGGATGAGAATGGCACAGGATTGGAGAAAGTTCAGATCTGTTACTCATAGGGTTGCTATGAGTTGAGTATACTTGATGGCCCTAGCAACAACCACTTTTATAAGGGTTCTGGAGCTCAGCTTCCTGGGTTCAAATATGAGTTCTTTTACCTACTAATTTATCGTGTTCAAGTTATTTAGCCCCTTTCTTGTGTCTCTCTTCCTCCTCTGTAAAAACAAGGATAGTAATAGTGTCTACTTCATAGAAATATGTTAAGATTAAGTAATTATCAGCAAGTATCTAGAATAGTCTTTACAAGTAGTAATTGGTAAATGTTGAATTGATTCTGAGTCTTACAAGGACCTTTTGTACAATAGAACAAGCTATGTTTGGTCCTACCTCGTCTTCACATTCATTACTCTTCTTGAGCCTATTTTTGTGATCATGGTGTCAGTCTATCTTTTTTTTTCCTGGCCTGCTGCCAAGCATGATTTCCTTCAAGAACCAGCTTCTCCTTGCAACATGCCTTAAGTATGTGAGACTTTAATCTTACCATCCTTGCTTTGAAGCAACATTCTGGCTCTATTTCCATGACAGATTTGTTTGTTATTTTGTATATTATGGTATACATAGTATTATTGAACATCACAGTTCAAAGTCATCAATACTTTTTCAGTCATCAGTTTTCACATGCATCTTTTTGACTGATTTGTCCAGTGCAGTACATTGTTTGACTCCTTAGGCATAGACTGTGATCCAAGTAAAAAGAAATATTTTACAACTTCAGTCTGTTTTTCTTTTATCATAATGTTTATTGGCCTAGTTGTGAGTTTTGTTCCGTTTTTTAATTGAAGTTGAGATGGGATCCATGTGGGAGGCTTTAAGCTTCATCAGTAAGTGCTTCAAGGCTTTATTTTCTGTAAACAAGGTTTTATTGTCTCACATCACAGTTTGTTAATGAGTTTCTCATTCTGGTGCTGTGTGGTTCTTGGTATAGTCCAGTCTTTTTCCACTATTTGCTCAGCATATAGATTGAGTGTTGTTGTGTACCATAGAGTCAGAACCAACACATAGCAGACCCTCCGGTGGGTTTTCAGAGGCAGTTCATTGCATGGGAGGAGATTGCCCGTCCTTCTCCCATGGAACAGCTGGCGGTATCAAACTGTGTGCCTTCAGGATTATAGTGTAGCTTCTTGTTACTAGACTGCTACAGCTCCTCCAGATTAATAACTATGGTAAAAAGATACAATCCTGATGCACACTTTTCTGCATTTTAAACCATGTCCTATTTGAATGACTGCTGCATGGTGCATGTACAGGTCCCTAAAGAGAACAATTAAGTTTTCTGGAATTCCCATGATTTGCTCTGATACACACAATCTAATGACTTTGTGTAGTGAATAAAAAGACTTCTGGTATTAATAAACATCTACATGGCATTTTGTACTTTAAGCCAAAATCCATCTGATGTCAGCAATGATGTTTCTTTTTCATATCCTTTTCTGATCCACCTTGAAATTCTTTCATTTTTCTCTTCATGTACTGCTCCATCCAGTTTTGAATTGTTGTGGT